TCAGATACCATAAAGTATCCATCTCTTATACACATCACACTCACAGTTTGAAATTTGAAAATGAAATCAATGAACAGATCAAGATAAATATACATAACATTGTACAATCTGGAATTCATTAAGGACATAGTTGAAAGTTTGATTAGATCTCTGTATCACACAATAATATACAATTCATATTGTGATAAAAATTTCCAATTAACATAATCTAACCCACAGGGACTTAACAATTTGTTACAGCTACATTTGGACCTAAACTAAGGTGTTCAGAGTAATTTTACACATTTTATAGGTCCAATGAATGACCTCCAGTGATGACGTATATATCATCATTAGGGCTGGCATTTTTACCGAAAGTTTATCTAAACCCCTAAAGCAAGTAAGATAATTCTTGAACACCTTAGTTTAGGTCCAAATGTAGCTGTAACAAATTCTTAAGTCCCTGTGATCTAATCAAGTTTTGAGGTACTAAGTGATCATTTGCATGTTTGCAACCCATTTCCCCTATACTACAAGTATAATTAAAATGTATACATGTGTGAACTGAACACATTTTCAAACATCAAACATCTACAGAAAAATGTTAGGTATTTTCTCTCAAAAATATATCATTTCTGTTTTGAAGTATTAGCTTTTTTAAACAGATTATTTTTCTAGCTGAACTTAAATATGGCTCCTCAATGACTATCCTCTAAGACAATAAAACACATAACTTTCAAAAAAATATTGTATAACAATTTTATAATACATATGTGATTGAAGGGCATTTCCAGCAAACCCTGGGACTGTCTTTCAAAGAGAAAAAATAAATTAAATTTTAACCAAAAATGTTACTAATACACTCAACATTCTGGTAAACACTTAGATACATAAGCTTATACGGTAAATGATAGACATTTTACACAAGACTGCTTGTATGTTTTGGGTAATTCATACCCAAAATTGTTTATTACGGGTATTATCTATGAATTTACCTAAATGAGTTATCTGAAAAAGAGAATGTCTGACAAAAGCGCTTGTTATGAATATTTTATATGATACAATGTACAATGAAATTATGGAGTGAAAACTGTTGGTCAAATAGATTTGGAGAGAGGCATTCAATAGATAACCTTTACCTCGACTAAATGGCCTGAAAAAATACAACTTTTTACGTCATATACAGAAATACAACTAATGAAGTCAGCAAAGATAACTGAAAAAATACCCCAGTTTATTGAGCAAGCACATATTTATATATGACCTAGGTAATGAAAGGTTCAATGTAGGCGCAACCATCAAGGACAAGTAAACATGTGATAACTGAATGTATCAACACCTAACCTTAAGGACACCTCCATGTATCTGATACGAGTTAATGGACCCAGGACCAATACATTCTCCTATCCAACATAAAAATAAGCAAGTCCCTATCAAACATCAGTTACCTGTAACACAGTAGTGGATATCCCTTAGTGTTGGGAGTGAATGTGTGATTAACCCTTTCACCCCTATGTAACTTTAGTAGACTCTACCATGCATTGATATGGATGAGTCTATTATGGTCTACAGTGGTGAAAGCATTAACATTAATCAGTTAACATCAGCATGTTATTGGAACTATCCAATAAACTTATAAAACGGAAATTCTATGTAAACATTTTCTTTTTGATTTCACCAAAAATTGTGACTTATAAGTACCGATCATCAAAAAATCCTAATGAATGAAAAGAGTTGCTATTTTTTAAATGATTAAAAAAAATAAGTTTAAAATGCTCAAAGCAGAAAAGTAACAACATTTTAAAGTAATGATGATGTTGAAAAATTCGTTTGTGTCTCAGAAATGAACTAGAAATGTTATCCAGAGGTTAACTTTTAACTTCAATGATAACAATACATCTTCATAGTTGCCTTCCATAACACCATATGCTTCCAATCGTAAAGTTTGAAATACAATTATTTCACAACATTTTAAACAGGCACTAATAATTATGAAGAGGAATTTGCATTCACAGATACGAAAATTTCATCAACTCTACAATTTACAGATCTACAAAGTTTGCAAAGTTCGTTGAAATCCATCTTATACTTGAGGGTAGTTTACAAGATGTTTAATAAAAGGTAGTAAATATCTTGATATCAACAAAACAACATGGAGATCACACATGCACAGGTTTATGTGACGAGCGAGATATGTTTCACTAAAACATTGGTGCAGTACTATAGGATTTGTACAGATTAAATTGTGTCAAGAGACAGATGGAAGGACGGATTGATCACCTGCTTCCAGTGTACCCCCATTTAACTTCATTCCCAAGGGGTAAGAAAGAAACTGCTCAAACTAAAGATGTGAACTATTTTACTACCGGTACTTACTTTCAGTAAACGAGTAATTGTTTTGATATAAATGCCATGTGATGGATAATTGATTACACAAATAGTAGAATGAACCATTTGATTTTCTTTCAAATTGTAAAACTCTTATACATCTAATGCTATAACGATTCTGTTTAGGAGACTTGCGTAGTGTTATGTATTTAAGCTGTCAATGAATTAAATTTAATCCTAGTGTCATAGATAAACACTTATAATAACAACTTGTATACATTGTATGTATTAATTTCTAAAACATATCTAGTACCGTATATCATAAAAATTATAACTTGTGACTAAAATGAAATATTTGAGTTGTGATATTTTGTTTAAACATGAATATCAAATTCAAGAATATCCTTAATAAAAAGCAATACTGGTATCAAAACTTAAGGCCAAAATAAAACCTGAAGGGTTGAAAAATTTAACTGTTTAGAATTTTACAATAAAGAAATGAAGCCATGAAGGGAAAGAGCTAAGGAAACAATTAAAATAAAGTGAAATTTATAATCGGTTCTGTAATATCCTTTCATATTATCTCATGAATTAAACATGGTGTACCTATTGCGATCTCAGTACTCTTCGACACAGGGACCTGAAAAGCTTCTTGTATATATGATCATTGGGGGTGTCATTTTTACCAAAAGTCAATCGAAACCCCCAAAACATTTAAAATTTCCCTGAACACCTCAGTTTAGGTCGATATATTGCTGTTACAAATTCTTAGGTCGATGTGCTCTTCGAAAGAAAAATCCTTAAAGCAAGATGCCAAAATATTACTATGTGTCTCAGCACTCATCCCCTTTGCATTTTAAGACAACAGCAGTATGTATAGTAGAACCGATGAAGTTAAAGTACCATCTGTATTCCTCTCCCTTGATAAGTATCAAGATTTAAAACATAATACAGAGATATCAGTAATGCATTGCTTTCGCATGCAATGCATTACATTTGACATAATAATTTATTTTGATGTCGAAATATATTAGGACAGTGACTCGGACACTCTGTGATGCCTTTAGTCGTTTATTTCAGCCTCTACAACTGGCAGTCACTAACACAGGGTATTGTATAAATATATTCTACTCCGAGCATGAGTACATCTCTTAAAAAGCTGTAATGCCTATTCAGTCAGCAGACAAAATTCCAGTGACAGAATAAAAACAGAAAGAGTAAGAAAGGAAAATAATTAACAAACACCAGAAAATAAAAAGGTCCCAGAAATTAGAGTATAATTTTAAACATAACAAACAACATATTTCCATATTTTATATGGCATAATTTCTTATCACAATAAATTCTGAAAGTAATGCAGTATAACTGTAACAGGAACAGATTCAAAGTAATCATAAAAAAATATCAACAGTTTTCTTATGTAGTTCATTTTTGTTAGGGAAAAAAGAATAAATAAATAATTTGATAATTACAAAAAAAATGAAAAAGAAAACTGAAATTGACATTGTAGGAATCAACATCAGAAGAAATATGAAAAAAATCCAATACTGTAATTTTCTGGTTTTTTGTTGTGTTTCTTACAAAAAATATGTGTATACCTAGGGATGAGTAGGGCAATTATGTGCACTGTCAGTGTATCATTAACTATATAATGTACTAACTACTGCTTTAATCTCCGCTTCATGTTTTCTATCAAGATCAATGTGTTATCAATATGACTGATATTGATTGGTCATTAACAATTAAACTTGACAACATTCAATCTTACATTTTGTGTGTGTGCAAAGGTTACACAGTTATTTAGAATGATTTTAATTTCATTTCTTTCTTTATATCTGAGCACATTTATACATTTACATGACCTATGACCAACAATCTCGTCCCAATTAATAGTTTTTAATTATCCAATTTCACATTTATGAAAATTAGGATTTTTTGCACAACCTTTGCCAGAAAATCGCCAATTACATGTATTTTTTATCTCATAAACAAATTTGCCTAAATTTTCATGATATTTCAGTTGCATCAAAGTTTCTAACAAAATTTGGATGAAATATGCCCAGCAGTTCTGGAGAAAATAGTCACTCCATGCATTCATTAATCGAGTGAGAGATTTAAGATCTGGCTTTCACTTAATCACTTCCAGTTATGTACCTATTTATTTGTTTATGTGAAATACATACCAGTTCACATACTATTGAATTTGTATAATTTTGATTTCCAGGTTACTTTCCTAGAACTGTTCCCGATCACATTGAATTTGTGGATTTATTATTTTCAGAAAACTGTTAAATTAATTATTACACTCCAGTCAGTATTGGAAAAAAATGCATAGATCTGTAATTCTTCTCAGTGCAACACAATACAAATCATGATCACAGACAATAAATTCATATATACCTGTGTAAGGTGCAAGAACACAGTTCTGTCACAGTGAGATATGCCTGTGGAATTAATCTACCTGTTATCTTAAAGATGGGACCTGGACACTTTTCACAATTGCCTGACCTGCAGACTCAGTACAAAACTGTTTATTTTGTTGTTCAAGCAATTATCTATTAAATTCTATTTTACTGGCAATATGTCCTGCTGTAAATCAACAGGAATGCATCTTTTATATTTTCTGTACTTTTGTCCATTTTTTTGTAGACAGTCAGACCTTTAATTAATTTATAAATTTTGTTAGACAATTACCTCTTAACAAATGAAAATAACATTAAAGAATTTAGAGACACAATTATCAATAAAATAAAATCTTAATCAATCATTTTCCACATATCTTTCAAAGTCGAGAAGCAATCTCTTTATCCCACTTGGAAAGATTCTAGACAAAAAAAAAAGCAATGAATGGATAAGATCATTGTATACCCTGTTACGGTCGTAGATTTTAAATCTACATAAAATATGTGCTAAAACATGATCATAGATTCAGTTGTAAAAAAAATAACTTTTCAAATAGTTGTCTCAAATGAATTCTATTCCTTCATATTTATGGTCTCCTATTTTTTTGTCAGAAAGAATGATATCCCCATTAACAGTGAATACTAGTATGTAGGAGGCTACTCTTCCTTCTACCTCCTCAGATTTTAACGCAACAATCATTTGATCGTTTGTCCCTGGAATGAATTTGAATGAAGAAAATCCTCTTAGATCATTTTTAACACCAATATATCTGATTTCAATATCATCAAATTTGTCGTTTGCTATTATCATCATGTTGGTTGCCTTTCTTTCATCTATCTTATCATCATATCTTTCCCTACTGGCTCGTCGTGGGAGGAAGAACCAGCGTTTGTGGATATCGCTCCATGCAGAAGACTCATGGATCATATATCCTGGAAAAGAAAATTATAAGTAATAACAGGACATTGTGGTTTAATAGAATCTGTCACTCCAGTGATGAAGACAGGATAAATAAGAAGTAATGAATAACTTTCTGTAGCCAGTCATTATCTTTGGTATATCTGTATACAGTGATGTGATGTATCGTAAGTCTTTCATGTTGCATCATTTTTCCATGGAATTCTATGTTAATTTCATTTTTTTTCAACAAAATTTTGTGACTTTGTTTGACATCTAATTTGGATAAACTTGACACCCTGTTATCCACCAAGTTTCCTCTGGTAATATCTATATTATCTGTGGCTCAGTTGACCCCCTGTTATCCACTATTTCCTCTGGTAATATCTATATTATCTGTGGCTCAGTTGACCCCCTGTTATCCACTATTTCCTCTGGTAATATCTATATTATCCGTGGCTCAGTTGTTGAGATATCACTTTTAATCCCAGCATAAAAGTTGTACTTTGACATCATTCCCATAGACACTCATTCCCATAGACATTATGTTTAATTTTGCCATAAAAATATCTTTGCCAAGTCAACGTTCATGGTTAGAATTCTATTTAAAGGATATTTATATAAATTTATAATACCAAGAGAAGCACTAGATAATTATCTAGCTTTGTGCTGAATTTCACCAATTTTTGATTAAAAAAAAAGCCAGGAAAATCAATTTTCTGAAAGTAAAATAACATAGAATACTTATGGAAAATGACATAACATGAGAGGCTTATGGCACATCACTGTAAATTCAACATATTTTTTAATCATAGTCACTTGGAAAACAGTAAGCAAAGGTAAACAATACAACAAACCTGGTAAGCTATGTCCTGTGGCCTTCCTCATAGCATTGTAATATGTGTGCCAGTCATGGTGTGTGATCTGTCCAGTGGCAGAGATAGACATGACCCACTGAGGGTTCAAGTTGACAACTTCCCCAGTTTGTGTTGTCCATTCCTTCCCCAAACCTCCAACATATAACTTTCCGTTTCTGACTGTTGCCCACTCACTCTTGAAACCTGTCAAAAACATGGAAATGTTATGAATACCTGGGGGATCTACTAAATTAGCTTGCTGCAGGCAATTTTCATCAGAGTTGATTTTTATGCTTTTTATATAAGCATGTTCCTGATAAATTTTCAGATGAAAAGTGATCATATTTCCGAAATACCTCTACAATGTTATTTATTGTATTTTACATGAAAACCAATAATGCTAAACCTGACTCAAACAATCTATACTTTTATTAATTAAATTAATTAATAAAAGTATAGACTGCTCGAGTCAGGTTTAGCATTATTAATTATTTGCATATATATATATATACATGTATATTGACAATTATATGCGAAAACTTCTGCCACTTTCTGGAAATCCAAAAGTGGACAGTGCCCTTTGGTACTCCCATCAACCTGTAGGCAAAACACACAAGGCTCAGACAAATGATGCCCTGTATCTCTCTTCTCTAGGCTGGTGTACATTCGGTACCCTCCATCAACCAACAAGGAGTCCTCAGCAATTTATATCACATATTATGTTGCCTCATTCTGATGAAAATGACAAACCTGAAAGGAACACAATGGTCCAACCTTCGGGCACACATACATCAAGTAGTACATACTCTCAATGGCTAATCCTGAACTACAAGGTTGTCTGCCCTTTTCCCTGGTCAGTGGTGCAAATATCTCAGGAGGTACCATAAATATCAATATAATGCCACCCCAGAAAAAAGTGGAGTACAGTCAGTCCATGTCTAGTTGACAGGAAGAAATCAACTAAATAGTATTAAATTTGTTGAATTTAATCAGTTTATTTTTGTTATTTTAAGATTACTGCCAATAATATACAAGTAGTTAATTATTAATAAATGTGTCATCAATCAGCTTAATCCACATTGGCCCTGTTATTAAGCCTCGGTCTGTCATGCATATTGGCCCTTGGCCTGTGGCCTCAGGGCCAATATGGAATTAACTGATTGATAATTTATATATAACCCTATACATGTATCACAGAACCACTAATGCCAGTTCTGAGATAAACATCAACTTCACAACTTCCTTATGAGGTAGACAATCCATTAAGATGTCTGTCACACAAAAAAATCCTTTGCCATAAAATAAAACAATTAATTTTAAACAAATTGTAACCAGAATAAGTGTTTCAATCTTAGCAACTACATTCAAATACTGTTAAGGACTGAACTTGAACTGTTTTGTTCCTAGAACAATTTTGTGCTGTAATCATTATTCCTATCTCACCTTATCAGAAAGTCTCAGGTGTGCAGTTCCAACCCCTGAACCAAGAGTATTTCTGACAGATTCACTGCTGGACTGCAGTGCAACTTTTGTGGTCTCAGATGAAATATTCACAGAGAATTTCAAAGATTTACAAGCTGGTGAATAGTAATTATGTAGCCGACTTACAGGGGCTTTATTTGTTATATTAAAAGACCGGGCCCTTCAGTTAAGGATTATTATATGATTGTAACAGGAGAGGAAAAATGCATGACCAGACTGGGGTTCGAACCTGGGACCCTCTGAACTCTAGATGGACGTCACTGCCTACCAATTGAGCTACCTGGTCGCCGACGATCGACCCAGTCCAGTTCGCTACATTATAAATAAAGTGTGGTTACAAGATACATTGCATCTGCCACCAGACTTGGACATTTTGACACCCTATAGATGTCTAGTGTGAGTGCGCTCTGGCCCCACACCAGACATCTATATGTCAAAATGTCCAAGTCTGGTGTTAGGGCCAGAGGAAACTCGGGCTACAAGATAGTAGATACATGGCCTAAATTCTTGACCTGTCCAGTAAGTTAAGTTTGTATTATACCTTTCTGCGATCTGCCATTACCATCTGTGAGAATGACCCAAGGAATCACCATATTGTCACTAATCTCGTATACAACTCCAGTCCTGTCATCCATGGTGTAAAGTTTCCCATTGAACACAATAAGCTCGGAGAGCTCCATTCCACGCCCTCCCTGACTCCATGTAGATTTGAGTGTTTTTGCTTCTGAATCTAAGTTTACAGTGACATGTTTCTGATCTGTAGATATTGACAAAGTTCCATATAACAGGTAACTTAACCACGTATCCTTGTCGTTTTTACTCTTAGAATCTGTATCAAGATCTGTCACAACAGCTATTTTATAATGGATCCCAGATTCATTTTTAACTGGAGCTGTAAACGGATAAGTATGCTCATGTGAAACGGGATATATATCTGGACAATTTCGTTGTATATATTGAGTGGGCAAGATATAAACAACCAATGTAAGAATTGCTGCCATGAACAATACCCCATAGGCAACAGAGCGTGTTTTGATATGGAGGCGTGCACTGCCAACCCTGTATGGTACTGGTCTGCGTATCGCTTGCATCCAGTCATGGACCGTCGACGGATAGGAGGTAGAACTCATTTTGCTGCTACATTTCAACAACTTTCAATTCATTCTTTGTACTGACGTGGCTCGCCATACATTTTTCGTCTGCCCAAACATCCCTGTCAAACCGTGTGCATTAAACGCTTATCTTTTAAATGCCAACTACGTACTACTTAAGCGTATGAAAGATTTATATATGGGTGATATAAAATTAAAGCTGGAAAATGGAAACAGGTGCCCGTCTGCGGGATAGAGTGCATTGACATTTGCTGATGTTAATAAGTTGATGTCATTACGACTGACATAATTCTTAATTTAATCACAAGGACAAATAGTTCAAAATCACTGTAATTTAACACATTGTGATGTACTTGTAAATAATATTTTAGTCAGTTTTCTCCGGAATCCGTTTAATCTATTATAGCATTACCTGCATCCCCACGTGTTCATAATATTTCCCTATAGCTTCACATACAGATCAAGCAGGATACCTGTTTTTGAAGAGATGAAGAAGGAAAAGGTATTTCAAAACACTGTACATGTTATCACAACAATCAAAACTTTTATGCATGCTCCTTGATTTCGACCATCCTCAGATGGACCATGAACTTGTCAACAAAATACATAACGTTAGTTCTCAGGGGTTCGTGTCGTATGTGTATTTCAGACATTTGCAACGAACATATGCGGACTTCCCTTCCCTTCTATGTCAATATAGTAGGGTAGGGAAGTCTATTATACATTTTCATATCTTTAGACATAGTTACACGTTACAGATTAAGATGTTACTCCCATAACATGAGAGGCCGCTGGTCGGCCTTTTTTCAATCGGATATGATTTTGCCGACTGCGACGAGGTTACGCGGCGCCTGTCAAAAGTTTTTCGCCGTATAAAACCTCTAACATTGTTGGAGTAATGAAGATGTATGCTATTCAACTTTCATCTTGGTCTAAAATGATATTCTAAAGACTTAAAAGTCGTGTTCTTATCTTCAGTAAGACGAATTAAATCTGTCTTTGATTGAATTGAACCTGTCTTGAAAGATATATATGCAAATGTGGATATCATCCATTCAAATAGGTCTTCTGGTGTATTGGAATGGATCTACTTGATATCTACATTTAGTTGTATACATGTAGGTACAATTATATGAATATACATTATGTTGTTTGATGTGTAGACTTCCATATAGGTAAAATCAGTTAAAGATAGGTTCAATACTTCTGTTATAGGCTCCTTTCATGTATCCTCTCTGTTTATCAATATAACTTTTTCGGATATACATCAGAATACTAGGTCTGACGTCGACCTTATTGTATAAATGAACAATTTTGCTGGTCCAAGATAAAGGAGAGCGGCCTAAGGACTGACAAAAAATACATGTGTTTCTTGTAACATGTTGTAAAAATTTAGGGGAGGTTGGTAGGTAACAAATTTTATTTTAACAAATAATTTTATATGGTTTATACAGGATAAGAGAGTAATCTTGACTTTGCAGTGGCGGATCCAGAGGGGTTTTTTGGGCTTCAGGAAACCCCCCCCACCATGAGAATTTTCTTTAAAAATCATGTATTTTCACCATTTTCCTCAATTTTTCCCCACATGGAAACCCCCCCAGGAAATTTGGAAACCCCCCCCATATAGGTCTCTGGATCCGCCACTGCAAGTTTGTCAGTACTTTTTTTAAAATTGCCCTACAAAGTTAAGGGTAAGGCTAACACAAATAATAATTGTAGGTAGGGTTACCGAAAACACCTAATATTTTTTGTTTGGCCTAAGGATTCCTCAACTTGTCCTGCACACTGCACTGGTTTTCCCTGTAAACAGTAACCTCTCTTTACCTTCCGTTACGCTATAATTGTTGCACAGTTAGGCTAGGATACCTCCATTGACCAGGTAGATCAATTGTTAAAGCAATGGTATAACATTCCAAAGTCCATGGTTTGAATCCCGGACTAACCTCGCTGAATTATGACACTCAGAACACTGCTGCTGATTATATTTTGCTTATTTTATCTTTAGTATTTCTCATAAAAGTCCCACAATGTCTTCGTTTTCTTTTCAGAAATGATTTATTAAAGCTATTGTTATTCTAGAAAAAACTGTTTCCAATATACTTAGTGAAGATTTTTTGGCAGTGGTACAGGGATCCTTAAATGATTAAAGATTGAAATTAGTCTATCTTATAGTTGTACCTTAATATCTTCAATTATTTAACATTCCATAAAAGTCTGGTGTTCGGCCACAGGCACAGGAAACTATGGCAACTGCACCAATGCTATAAGGAATGACAGTTCCTTTCAACACAATAGAAAAATCATGTTCAGTTGTGATCATAAGATGGATAGTCATACTATAATTGGACTTAAGAATTCATAGATCAATTTTATTCATTTCACTAGATGTCAAAACGCAAGGAAAAGAAAATGCAGGAAGCATCCGTGGAAGAAACGAAGAAGGAAGAGGTATGTTTTAACATGTCACAGGATGTGTCTATATCAAAATGACCACTGATTTCCAATGGACTATTCTGAAAAAAGTAACACACAGACATATATTCTTTTGACATTTTATGGCATGTCATTAACTCCTCTTTCAAAAAAATATCCAGAGAAAAAAAGTTTAATACAGTTGTTTTTTTTACTTCCCAGAGGTGTACATCCTTAATAGCAATCAACATTACAATGCATGTACCGGTACTTGACAGTTTGATGCCAAAACCAGGGTTGTAAATGACATTTGTTTTCTGCTGTAACAATGTCTTCAGGAGGATTTGCCGTACATCAGATTTGGACTACTTGTACTTCGATCACTTGATGACTTTGTAGCTCAGAGCTTTATTGAAGAGGTCCTGGGTTTAAAATCCTTTGTTCTGGAGAGGCATGTTGTGTTTGGCTAATGTTTCTAGTATTCTTGTTTAAATTGTCATTCCAATATGAACTTGTATGCCACACACATATAAATTTACCGTTCAGTATATTAGTGCTTCCTGGTAATTATAGCTTGGCAATTTAATATAACAATTTTGTTCACTTTGTTGGAATACCAAATAAGTAACTGCCAATAAGCTTGATAAGTTTAAAATGAGATTTTAAAGTTGTGTCGAGTATCATTTTTAATAATACATCTAGATAATACTGTATGTATATAACTCTTAGATGTTTTAAAATTATAAACTATAAATTGAACATGAGAAATGAAGGGAATTAGAGCTTGGAGTTGTTGAATAATTTACTAAACTACTGTGATTCATTTACTTACCAATGCATTGTTTATACAAAGGCTAACAACAAGATTTATATTTATTGTTGACAAATCAGGTTTTGGGTCAATCTCAGTCTAGAAGCGGCTGCCAGTACTACTGCTGCCTACTGGGATCTTGTATCAGTACATAACGAACGTGTATTCTTTGTGTTGCTGAAACGATCAGAATCATTTTACCAGAGTTCCAATTTAGGCCTAACATCAGTTAATTTCAATGTCAGCTGTATGATGCAGTGTAATATATTTTTCTTATGCATACTGTATCAGCTACCAAATTGTATAGGTGCAATCACATGTGTGTCTTAGGGCTATATATATATATAGGTTCATCTTATAGAATGTAACTGCTTAGAAAAAGTTCCCAGGTTGTCCATAACCATGTCTGAACCAAAATGGAACCACTTCCCTTCGTTCACTTTCCCTCTGTCAAGTTCAATTATTTTCTGGCTGCCTTCAAAAGTTGCTGTCTGTTAATTCAATTACTAACTGTAACCTTTGCATTTTATTGGCATGTGGATCATTAAATTTAGTTTTTTGACATATTTTTAACAAAGTTTTGACTTTCTTTGGGGTTCATTTTTCTCATCCTTGAACGTGGCCGATCACTAATGTGAATACTCTGTATTGTGGCAAATTTTCAGTTTGTAAGCAAGATTTCAGGTTCAAATTTGACACTGTCTAGCCCGCTGCAAGGTTCCTGTTCTATTACATATTTTTATCAGTGATCTACCCTTGTTACCAGTATTTTATATGTACTTGACAAATGGATACATAAACCAGGGTTGTATATTCAAGTGATTTCTTCAGTAACTAAACTTTTAGACAGAAGAAGTGCAGATTTGTACAAGTTTGATCACCTTTTGATTAAGTTGCTCTGTTGGCAATAAGTAGAAATCAGTGATTTTAGGTTTGCAATCCTGGGCAGGTATATTATGTTTCGTTGTGACATTCGTGTTAAAAATGTTGTAACTATTGTAGCTTATATTATACATAGAGCAGTATGTTAGTATGTCATCCTAACCATTTGTGTGATCAATGCTGGTAAGTTCATTCCAGCATAACAATTATAAAACTCTGTTCAATCCTGCAGATCATGAAGGATAGATACCATTGTTTGGTTAAATAATTCATTTATAAAAAAAATCTTGATTTCACTAGGATATGCTGACTGACACAGATGAAAAAACGCAGGAAGAGGCAAAGGATAAAGAGGTAAGTTTGTACCAGAATTTAACTCTTTTTAAGTACCACAATAGACAAGTTCCATTGATACTGACCCAAACAATGTTTGTAATATTAACACATACACTAGGGCTGCAATGATACATTAACATGATGATGAGATACACATCACGATACTCGGGTCACGATGTGATACATATCACAATACATATAATAACAGTAGAAGCAAACCGAAAAGATATGTTGCAAATTTTCTCCGTAAAAAAAGACTTTGCTAAGGGATGAACACCTGTTTAGCTAGTGGTTCGGGTAGTATAGCTTCCTTGTTGAGGGTTTGGACCTAAAATCTTAATCTGGACTCATATATTTTTCTTGTCATATTTATTTTTACCTTTGTCCGATACATTAGTGTGTAAATTGTAACGTCCTAAAATGACCTTAACTGTTAATAGGACGTTAAACAAAATAAAATTATATATTGTACATACTCTGTAAACATTCAAAGTGTAGAAATATTGACAGGTACATTAGGTTCTGTTTTGCCATCTTGTTTCAATTATTATTCCGGTATGAACTCTGTTAGCTTTTATAGTTGTATAGTTAAACATGTGAGCCACAACAGCTTATCTGACTGTTATAAATGTCTGTTTATCCAGATCATGATAGGGATATCCTATTTGCATTAAAGTGTTAATTTACATGTATATAATTTCTTCATTCCATTTTGTGTTGGCACACAAGGTTGAGTGGTGGCAGAAAACATGTTTGGAGGTGATGAAGAAGGAAGAGGTATGTAAACACACAGGATAGAGCTATGTTGTACCAGCAATAAACCTTAACTCATTCACCCCTGAAGACACATTTAAGTTCTTCCAAGTCAAAGGCTGGAATAGTTCATTATGAAATTTCAGGGGTAAATGAGTTAAATACAAACATGTTAATACTGATCTGACAAAATGTCATATGGCTGACTGTCACTAAGCTTAGTTTAAAATTGGAGTTTGAAGTAGCAAATCCTATTGTGGATCATTGATGTAATACTGTACTGTATAAAGGTTTAGGTTGACAAGAGCAGCACATCTAGACAAATTTGATCTCCTTGTGACCTGGTAGCTAGAGCTTGCATGTAGAGATTCTTTATAGAAAAGCTGGCCTTGTCTGGTGTAGTTACAACATTTAATACTTAATATTTTAGCCTTTAAACTGTACTCTTAATAACCAAAACATTCAAAGCAGCTATATAGCTCTAGGTTTAAAACTGTTTCAGAAACAGAAATATATATTGACAGATATATCATGCTGTATTTTTGTTTAGATTTACACATTACGTAGTTATGATACAGGTTATTGTAATTACTGCTTCATGATAAAATGTGAGTCATGATATTTGATATTGACATGACAATTTGAAATCTAGATCTGTAATATTGATATCTTGACTTGATCAGAGAATTAATTAATTAGCATATTCTTGATTTCTCTAGGTGTTGAAAACTCTACAGCCGTTATTGAAGTTGGTGAAAAAGGATAGAAATACAGATCTTCTGTCTGATGATAAAGCGGAAATATATTTACAGTTTGCTGTGAAAAAGATTCCAAAGGTTCAAAACAAAATCATCAAGCTGTAAGTAATAAATCAATATATATAACTCTGAGAAATTAGGACCACACTGTATAGCCAATATAAAGAATGTAATTGCATTTTGTTCAATGGTCCAATAATATTTTTAGTCTGCCATCATCAGACGGTGGGCTATTCAATCACCCTTCATCCATGATCAGTTGTCCGTCCGTCCTTCCTTAACAATTTCTCAGAAAGGACTGGAGGAATCTTTCTCAAACTCACATTAAGGTTCCAATTGGTCCTTGATTGTGCATATCAAATTTGGTTGGGACTGATCAGAAAACCACGATGGCCCACAGACACCCATCATGAACTTTGAAAGTTCAAGTTTATTAGTGCTATTTCTAGTTTGAAGCTTTGATAAAAAATAACCACTAGGTGCAAGACTTGTTCCAACAAACAAAAGTATTAAATAAGAGAAAAGATCAATCTTACATAGAACCTATGAAGAGGGTACAGTAGTGGGTGCCAAGATCCCTCTGGGATCTCTTGTGTTTTACCCAAAATTATTTAACATTGCACATTTGACATGAAAAGTAACTGGGTATGATACAAAATCTAGCAGGAATTGTGGGTATAAATGAAAAATTTGTTTTTCAAGTGATTTATGAAGAACTGGTATGTTTTTAAACCATATATATTTTTTGTTTACTATTTTAGAACTATATACATGTATATTATATGTTATCATGTCAGATGTTGCAACAGATCTAAACTTTATGTTCGTATCTATTTGGAATTAGCGGCGAGGGTTTAACATAAAGCTATGAAAAATTGTCCAGTAAAGAAAGTGGAAACGAAATTTGATGAGGCGCCTGCCCTTACTAATCATAATGATTTGTATTATAGCACACATAATCAATAATTTGATCAATCTTATTGTCCATTTTCAGGAGGTTACCACATTCAGTATGGAAACCAGGACAGGAGGTCTGCCTCTTTGTAAAGGATATTAACAAAACATCTAGGGAACATGAGGTGACCGAACGTCACTTTAAAGATCTGTTGTCGTCAAAAGGCATCAACTGCATAACTCAAGTAAGTCTCCTCCTCTAGAGAGATGACCAATCAAAGGTGCTTCACTGAAATTTGTATATTTTAAAAAGGGCGTATCAGTCTCTTTATAAGAGATCTTACCAATTTTGTATGTATTTGTTGTGTATAATATATCTTCAGATAAAAAAAAAATGCAGATATGAACATTGTTTTAGTTTTTGGTTGTAGCAATTTTCAAGTCTTAACTTTGGCAACACAATATAAAGTAAAATGTAGGAAAATCCTTATTGATTTTAGATTTACCTTTTAATTGAAATTGTTATTTCCTTAAAATTCAGCAATGGAATTTCATTTCCTTGCATATCATGAGAAAAAATTCTTATATCAATTTTTCTTTCCTGTGATCTCTAATGCTTCTTTGTCTTTTAGGTTATACCCATGAAGTGCCTGAAGCTGGAGTACAAACCTTACGAAGCAAAGCGAAATCTCTCCAATATGTTTGATCTGTTCGTGGCAGATGAAAGGATTATACGCCTGTTGCCTTCTTTGCTGGGGAGAAACTTTTACGGAAAGAAAAAGTGTGTAATTGAGATTTTAGCACAATAAAACTAATCTTGGTTAATCAGGTGGTGCAGCTTTTGCCCAAGCTACCAAATGTAATTGCCAAAATAACTAAAAATATTCAAGCTTTGAAATATTTTTAGTGGGCATTCATAGGCAATATGAATGCCAACTGGACAAATTCAATGAAGCAAGGATTATGAAAGCTGATCATGTCCAAGTCACAAAAGAAGGGCGTAAAATTGACATGTCTGTATCCAAGCTTTATAACAAAACTTTTTCTCTGTTAAAGGCATCCGATTCAAGTCAACCTGCAAGCTTTGGATCTAAAAAAGGAGATTGATAAGGTTGTGTGTGACAGCAGATGTATCATCTCTGGGCAGGGAGCTACAAGGTGGGTATTTGTATAGTTAATTTAGATTATTGATTGGAAGGGGTTCTATAGAATTTATGATGAAATGTGTATCTTGACTAATGAAAGATTATTTTTACAAATTTTAATAGGGTTCAAGAAAACACATTGGGTGGGTGAAATATCGAAAATTTAATAATACAAATATTGTTAATATTAGCAGCATTTTCTTTTCTCATTGGTGTGTGTTCTTTTTCATCAATCATCAGTTGCAGATTAAAAAATCATAATATAGGTTTGGGAATTTAACTTTTGAAATTGAGAAATCACCCCCGAACCCCCTTTTTTGTGGGGAGAAACTCCGAGTATTTCAACTTATAAGATTAAGAATGGGATGATAAATTATTAATTGTTGAGAGGAGACATTAAAATCTCTTGTCCGACACTCAATGGATTCTTCTAGTTGTGTATCTTAATACTTTTCTGTCTATAGCACAGCGACTGTAGGATACTCGGATATGTCAGCTGAGCAATTGGCCGACAACGTCATGAAAGCAATGGAGTCAATAGCTGCAGCACTACCTGGAGGAGCAGTCAACATACAGAGTGTGTATGTCCGCACAGAAAAGTCGCTGGCTCTTCCTCTCTTTGCAACATTCAGTAAGGAACATAATTCTTGTCTTTATTTTTTATTTGGCCAATTAAAACAGTAAAAAATGTGTTTAGTTAATAATTTTAGGCAATGCCTTGATAAATTATTATGACCAAAAAATCACAAAAAAATCGCAAAGAAATTCACACGTCAATATAAAATCATCATACTCTGCTAAGTTTTTGCCCAATGGGAATAAAAGTATGTTGACCTGTGGAGAGTTTCAAAATGTTTTTTTAACAACGCAATGTGAATTCACAATTCTCAAGTTTTTTTGGGGTAAAATGTGTTAAACCAAATTATGCAAACAAATATTTTATAGCTATAAATGAAAATGGCCCATTTTTATTGAAAATGTTATATTGAGATACTGTAAACTCTCAATTGTTATTTATTATAATCCAGGTTCTAAAAGGGAGGTGAAACTGCCAAAGAAGCCTGTACAACAAAACTCTGTAGTGGGAGAGCTTAGTACCCTCATGACTGGCCATGTGCTTGTTACTAAGATGGGTAATGTCGTAGTGGGGAATCTAGACGAAAGTGGGAAATTTAACAAAATGAAACAGAGGCAAATGCACCAGAAAACAACCAAGCGAAAGATTGATGAGGAGTCAGACGATGAAATGGTTTTTGAGGAGGTTCAGCAAAAAAAGAGAAAAACAAACTTCAGAGACAAGCAAGGTAAAAAATTCAACACCAATTTTACCCAAAAGAATGGTAAAAAATTAAGCATAAAAAGCAAAACAAATGATAGTATGAAAATAAAAGACAGTTTGTCTTCTGTACCCACACCAGAAGCAACAAAAAAGGTGACATCTAAAGCCACACCAGAAATGAAGGGAAGAGTTTCTTCTAAAGCCGTGCCAGGAAAGGGAAAAAAAGTGTTGCTGAAAACCACCCAAAAAAAGGCAGGAATTTTGACAAAAGCTGCGTCTAAAAAGGGGGAAAAGATGTCTAAAGCCACACCAGAAAAGGCAGGAGGAAAGTCATTGTCTAAAGCTGCATCTAAAAAAGGGAAGGGGAAAAAAAAGTTGTCTTAAGTCACACCAGAAAAGGAAGGAAAGTCTTGTCGAAAGCCAGACAAGAAATCAAAGGAAGTGTGTTTAAAGCTGCATCTAAAAAGGGGAACATATTTTGTCTGAAGTCACCCCAGAAAAGGATGGCAATGGGTTGTCCAAAGCCACACCAGAAAGAGAGAAAAAATCATCTGAAACGGTGGCAAAAACAGGAGGAAAAACGATGGTGAAAAACTCCAAAATGATGAAGAATTAAGCGTTGAACATATGATTCAAATCAGTCAACTGTGTTGATACTAAATTTAACAATAGGCTTTGGAATGTGAACTGTTGAATAGCATAAAGAAAACATATTGAGCTGAGATACAAACTGTGATGCATAAATACAGTTTTTGCATGTGGTTTGCTGTTAAACCAGAATGGATGAAAAGAAATGTTATCAATGCAGTGTCATAACACAATGTCACTTGTAATCTTTCAGAATATTAATTTGATCTAGATTTTATTTTTAAACTATTTGACATTAATTATCAGTAATCATAACTTTTTTAGGAAATTTCTACAGATTATATTTTGATTAATGGGTCTGTCTTTATTTTGATAATTTGCCTTTTTGAAGAATAAGCCAAGGTTTTTCTGCATCTGATTAATTCTGTTAGTGTAAGGAAGGATAGACCAAGATTATTTAATAAAATTTCAATGTACTTGAGTTGGTATCCTTAAATTGCCTTGCATTAGCAGTAGTAGTTGCATGCATTATGATGAAGTGGCACTACTAGCTGTGTATAACATTAAGGAATACAGCTCTATTGACTGTTGTCCAGATTTCTTTGTTAAAATAACCCTCCCTTTTGTGATTCCTCTTTGATGAAATTTTAATGACTTTGAATTTCCAAAGCAAAGTGTGACACTAGTTGATAAATTAATAAGCTGAACCGGAGCTTTTTGTCCATACAATTACTGATGCTGAAGTTCAAAGAAATCATTACTATTAAAATTATTACTGGTAAAATTTTGTCTGTTTTCACAAAAACATTTAAATTAAGTAGATTTAAATCTTGATAACAACGTCAATGTAACATTAATAACTTACGACAAAATTTCTCTTTTTTTTTCTTCTGGAAAGGTTGAATATTGTTTTTGAGAAATGTCAATACTGTAGACAAATATTTCAGGAGATCTGTAGTCTCCAAAGCTAGCAACTTCATAGCACTGTACTTTTTTTACCTGTTGACTATAAATATTCATTCAACGTATTTGTGAAGACTTGTTAAATATACATGTATATGGATTAAAATGATGTTGAAAATATTGTACATGTAATGTCTTCATTTAATAAATTTTATGAGAAACATTATCTTTGCATTTTGAATCACCTGAATGGTTATGTTTAAATTAAACTTGTGATTACAAAAAAACCCATGACAATTCGGCGAATTATAGTCCCCCACCAAATGTGAAATGCACAGATGATAAATTTGTACAGGAACTAATTCTATATATGAATGTTTGACAGACCCACCGTATTCAATAAGGAATAGTGTCAGTGCTACTATTGCAAAAAAATCTGGTGGATGTTTACTGTTTAGTGGTATGGTTTTACTATTAAATTGCATCTGGTGACACTATGTATGCTTTTTCAAATGCAATTGAACCCATGCCCCAAGCAAAGAGTTCCAGTAACTCGTAGTGTAGGAGATAGAGCCCGGACAAACTTTTTCTTTGATGCAGGTCAAAAGTCAAAATGTAGGTCAGAGTGACCTACTTTTGATACACAACATACCGCCTCACTGAGGTGAACCCATACCCCAAGTATGAAATTCCAGTGACTAGTAGTGTAGGAGATGGAGCCTGGACAAACTTTTGATGTAGGTCAAAGGTCAAAACGTAGGCCAGAGTGATCTACTTTTAATACATGAGACACTGCCTCACCAAGGTGAACCCATACCCCAAGTGTGAAGTTCCAGTGACTAGTAGTGTGGGAGATAGAGCCCGGACAAACTTTTTCTTCGATGTAGGTCAAAGGTCAGAGTGACCTACTTTTGATACATGACACACCGCCTCACCAAGGTGAACCCATGACCCCAAGTATGAAGTTCCAGTGACAAGTAGTGTAGGAGATAGAGCCTGGACAAGATAGCGGAAGAACGGACGGACACGACGCAAAACTACGAGTCCCCCGGTGGGGGACTAAAAATTATTTCTTTGTTACATCTTCCCCTCATTTTTTTAATATTCAGCCACAGTAAGAAGATATACAGCAATTCCTCTTCATATCATGTATTGTTTGTCAGAGGACAATGTGATACATGTATAAAGCAAAAGGCAAGGAATGGTAATAGGAATCGGCCTGCTATTGCGATGAATATTACCATGGTGTGTAGGGCGACTTGTGAATATTCACAGGAATTCACGTCAAACCTGATGATTTAAAAGTATTACGTATATATATAGAGAAATCTATATAGTCAATTGCTTGGCATTTCTTCCATGATCATATCCTCACCTGTTTTTCATTGTGTCCATTTACTCCAGACATTATCATACACTTCCTTTCAATGCCTTCCTATGATCTTAAATTTGAGACTTCTGCTAAAATGATATTCATTTCTTGATAAGGTCGTGGTGCACATGTCTTATGAAGTTTGGTAATATTTATACTTGTATATCTTTATTGCCATATTTCCCTTGCTCTCATGTACAACATGTATACTTAATTTTGGAACAAAATCATTGAAAGATTGATATGAATGTCATCTCCATTTGATAAAAGATTGACCCCATTCTGTGACCTTGACCTTTTAGGTACATATCAGGAAGGATATGATCTTCATTATCTATGTTATTTTTTGACAAGAAAATATTAACATACATTTACAAAGATATTAAATAATTTCATTACATAGCAAAGGAAAATGAAAGAAAAACACAAAATTATAACAATTAAAAAATATTTATTAAGATTATGTGACGCATTTCAATTCACATACAATTATCAATAACTAAAAGGTATAATTTAAATATCACATAGAGCACCTTTTTTAACTCCATACACCAAGCACACAGATTTATAATACAAACACCTTCACAAAATTTCTGTTTGTCAATAAGATAACCCAATCCCAGCACTACAGTAACCTTTTTATTGATTCAGCACTACCGATTCATCTACATAAAGTGTAGAACGCAAGCCGTAAAGGCTAATCCTGTCCTTCTCATCTTTAAAAGATGTATTAACAAGGTCTTGTTTCATAAACGAGACAACTCTCGGCTGATCAGTCTGTTTGGAACATGATGTGTACATAACTATAACATGTATATATTTTCCTACACCTATCTTATTACATGTATTAAAATACAAAATCCAGATGATGGCTATAGTATGGCCAGATGCTTTACTGAAGTGTAGCCGGCCTTTTCAGTGTCAACACCATTCTGGTAATTAACAGTCCTTTATAAAGGAAGTTAAAAAACATAAACTTTATCCAGGTTTGCAACAGAGCCAAATTAAATCATCTTTATTCTCAGATTTTATAAGTTATAATACAACTAGATTACAGGAACAGATTGCATAGAAAAAGAGGAAAATCTGTTTCCCAAAACATTTATGTAACCATTGAACAACCATATTAGTGGTGGCTGGCATGGCTAGTCAGACAACCAGATTAATCAAGGCTGGATAGTTGGACAATCATATTAGTTGTTACTAGATGAACAAAGCTGGGTAGTGGCACTGGTATACCATGACACAATGTATATAACAAGGTAACGATTTCACTCTGAATATATATATCGGTAAGACATAATCATTATTGACTGTAAGCATATTTGCTGTAAACAATTACAATTGCATTGCACATTATTTGGATACACAGCCATAAAGATCTTTGGAAGAAAAACCTACTTTTCATGACATGAATTTCAGCCTCTCTTTTCCTTAATATCATAAATTTCCATATTCACCATAATAGATGCCCCTCCTCCATTAAGTGCAACTACAGTATCAACTTTCTGATTAGAAAAAAAATACAGACCCACATTTTCCTTTTATTCCAATTTATAAGTGGGTCGATCTGTTTAAGTCACTTCTAGCATCCTCTCTAGCAGGGGATTACTATCTGAGAGAACTTTTCTGATTTTTCAATGAAGACTTCCAAATTTGGTTGGAGAAAATATCCCTGAAAAAATCAAGCTGGTACTAGGAACGATACCAGCAGTTGAATTACTGGACCAATCCTGATGTTAATGTTGTACTAATTCTATACAACAGGTCAGTTTCTAAGATGATTTTTCTATGGATTGCATTTCCAGTGAAAAAAATAGACTTCCCGCAAAGAATTTGTTGCTATCGTTAAATTCCGTTCGACCTAGTGATGGGCAATCAGTTTAAAATCATAATCGTTAATTGGTTTGTAATCGGAAGTAGAAAACCTATCGAAGATCGATTGCATAATCAGTTCATAACTTTATAGGACTGAATAACCAAACAAAATGAGAACACTACCATGACATCAATAGATGGAGTTGTTAACTTTACACTATGCTTCGTTCATTTATTATGAATGGATTTCAAGCAATTTTTATGCAGTTTTATCATTTGACTTTCAAATACTTTTTTACATTGAAAACACTTTTATTTTAATGAAGAACCAATTATATCGATAATAAGATTTGTAAACGATGACTGGAATTAGAAAGGGCAAACTGATCAGTTTTCGATTATAATCGATCAACAGCCCATCACTACTTCGAACCATAAATTTGTTTAAATTGTGAAGTTCCAGAGACATTTCCTATGGTAAATATGGTTTGACTCGGCGTCTGTGTTCATTACAACGCAAGTTTTCTTTTCATGAATTGACTTTGATGTCTAACAGCACTCTGCATGTTTGTGGCGTCAACTTAAATATTCCTATTTCATGTAATGCATTATAGACACTGGAGTCCTTCCCTGGGGTGGGGCTGCTTTCATGGATCAACACTTCCTTCATCAGTAGAGATGTTCCAGTCTCCATAGTGAGGAGTTTAATAGCTTCATTTACTCTGGAAAATACAAATCATAAAATGTTTTATGGTTCAAAATTAAAATAAAATTCCCAGCTTATTGTATAACCGATTTGGGAAATTGAGACATTTAAATTAAAAAAAGAATTGAGTTTAAAATTTGTATTTGAAATTCTCATAAAAACTCTGGTCTCGTTTTAACTATTATTAACAATTAAAAGCTCTTTCTCTGCAAAAATAACAGTTTTTACAATTATAAAACCCTCTCTATCGTTAAAGTAAATGTTTTCAATTATACACTCACTGCCTAAAGTAATTCTCTGGTTTGTTTGTAAACTCCCCAAACAAAGGAAACAAGTTTCTTGTCATATCAAACTCCAGCTGTGAGGCTCCTCCGTCATTGAATCTGTTTTGTAGTATAACCTACAAAAAATTCAAAAAAATTGTCATCACAATCTATTCAAATTATCACTTTCACCAAACATTTGATGACTTCTTGTCTTAAATCAGCCATAAAGAAATGCAAATAAGTGACAAAAATGTTAAGGCAATTTTTTCATTATATATCATTTCATATCATGTATTCCGTCTTTGCGTATTGCAGAGTTATTTTCTCTTTGGAGCAGGTATTGATTTTTACGGCATTGGGTTGTGCGAGAAAATTACGGCGTTTTCTCAAAAATTGATGAGTTTACTCTCGCAAACAAGTGACGTAACAATCAATCCCTGCTCCCAAGAGAAGATACCTCTGCAATACGCAAAGACGGAATAGATTGCGAAACTTGATTCTCAGTGATATTTGTAGTACCAGAGAACCCTCAAAAGATGGTCTAGTTCAAGAGACATTACATACAAAAGTCTCTATTAGTATAGTTAGGTTACAGAAATAATTTACAGAACAGTGCACCTAAAGAATGAACTGTATCAGTTGTGTCTGTAATACCTCTTCTAACATGAACTTGTCAAGTTTGTCTGTCAAGCGTTGCCATGCCAATGTGAAGAGTGGTTTACTGAGTTGAGCCTGTATGTGTGTCAAATGATCTTTCAGTACGAGCAACATCTCACAGGCCGAAGACGACAGTGTTAAACTTGTTTCCTTCTGACTTGACAACAATAGCCACCTACAATGCAAACCAAAATAAAAGTACAAAACAAGGTTCTTTCATCTAAAAGGAAGGATACAGAGTGAGAGAATTTAAAAAGTAACACTTTTAATTCTTTTACTTTGAAGGGAATGGAGTTGAATTAAAAAGTGTAACAAAAGAAATGAAGCTGAATGAATTTCAGTCTTACCAAAGTCAGTAAAGTAGAAAATAAGTTATCAAAGTTCCTGTGGATACTTCTCCAGGAATAATACACAAATACATTAAAAGTAGGTCAACGTGACCTATATCTGTTTCAGACTTTTGTTAGACTTTGCATTTAGCTTTTATACTAATGAATAATCAAACTACATACCTTAATACATTAAGAAAGTACTACTCTAGATTTAAACACTGTGACCTATTTTTGTGCTTACTGACTTTGTAAAGACTTTGCATTCAGCTCCATCTATTTGGTGAGATTTTTTGTTTAGCTTCATTTCTATCAAAGCAGGAGTGAGGGCATTTGTTTGTTTTACAACATTTTCTGTTTTTCTCTGTGTCTGACTGTGTGAAGTATATAAGACTCTTTCATGCCCAGGGGTGCAGGACTGGGGAAATCCACCGAATGGGTTTTCAAATTGGTTAAACCCCGACGTTAACCGACCCAAGAGTTTTGCCCCATCTTGAAAATCCTGAGGGTATAATTTTCCTGTTCTTCACCCCTGGCCTTGAAAGAGTATTTTTCACTCATTCCTATCACAAGAATTAGCTCAGAATCCACATTTTTTTTATCCCATTGTGCTGTCACACACATAAAATTGGGTGTAAGATAGATTTTTTTTACCCAGGAATGAGAGAATATGTTTTCTTTCAAAAATTAAAGAACTTTTCAATCAATTTTTTCATGAAACTCACCTGTCTTTCCTATATGCCTGACTACGTGACTGTACATCCAATACTATGCACTTGACAATGTTCTTCAGCATCTCTGTCTTGAGTTGGTTGAACGTGTCTATAGCCTCCTCAAACAAGCTAGTTTCCAACTCTTCAGCCACATCCTCCAAACCTTCGTACTAAAACAAATAGTTTTGAGAATTATCAGAAAGATGAGGTCATCAAAACTTCAGTTTATAGAAAATTTGTTAACCATTTCTTCAAAAATGTCCATAACTATCAAATCACCGATCTTTATAATATTGTAAAAGTGTTTATTTTCATCCCTCTTGACATATGCTTTCATTTTTTTGCTCTTGTTCAAACTGGCGAATTAATTCAGCATTCTTACAGCAGACAGGTATTAACAATATCCTTACCAAATTGATGAAACCACAGGAAATTCTAGAATAAATCCTGCTTTATAATAATTTGACATTCAACAATAGTCACTTTCAGGTTATGACAGCTGAAAAGGTCAGCAAAAACATGGTTTTCTCTTAACATCACATTCTGGTTAATATCATGTTTTCCTCTGACAAATGAGACGTGATATTAGGAAAAACTACTGTACTATGTTAGGATTGTATTTTCTAAATCGCAGTATTCACATCACCAACAGCAATAAGCACTTTACCAGAATACCCTGTAACCAAAACGCTAATGAAAAGACTACTGGAGCATAAGGCTTACCAGGCTGAGGTCAGACGAAGGGCTGGATGCTGTGGTCAAGATGGACGGACTTGATACAGATGTCGGACTGGACTGTGTGACCGGACTGGACTGTGTGGCAGGACTGGAGACTGAGGCTGATGGTTGTGTTGACGTGTCGGGTTCTAGTGTAAGATGCTGGTACTGTATCTGCAGGAAGAACTGTAAAAAAAAGGACTGTGTTGTCATATTTATAACATCACCATGTGGTTTCAGATCATATCCACCCATCTTTTATTAATTTGGAGATTTAAGTCTTTATGAACATGAACTGAATAGTCTTTGTAATGGTAACCAGGCTACACTATAACCAAACCAAAATGAGGCACAGCAGGATGGAACATCTATAGCACAGATAAGCTTATTTGCATGCAAGGCAGATTTCGCTAATTAAATTTAAATTTCTATGTTTGAATATTTACAATACTTATATCCCTGCTAATTCCATCACAAAAGTGTGATAAATTTCGAAGTTGCATGTGATAAAATCTTCAGATTCAATTTTTTGGGATATCTTCATCATGCAAATAAATAGAGAATTAGATACTTGCAGAAAAAATACCTAATATCCCGATATACGATAATACTGCATAACAATAAACATTCATGGGTACAAAACCATTTCTTTGTTGATTCATTTCTACATGCAACCTCTTTTTTTCAGGTACAGTCAAATTACGTTCTTTTAGCAGAATGTTCATGTTAGTAAACATGGAGCCTTAATAATTGTTTTGCATTGTATATGTAGCAGAAATTTCTATGTTAGTAAACATATAGCATGGAGCCTTAATAATTGTTTGTACAGTAGATTTCTCTTAATATCACTTCCCATTTGTCAGAGAAAAACATGATATTAACAGAAACATGACATAAACAGAATACATATTTTCTGATGTTTTTCAGTCCTCAAAACCGGAAGTGAACTTAGTCAAATGCCTAAGTGATGTGGCTCTACGAAGAAGATTGATATTTTGTAACTAACCTTGTTCTTTACCCTAGCTGAAATATAGATATAAGTATAGAAATAAATATATTATTTGTATTTCATTTCAGTATGCAGTTACATTTCATATAGTTAGTAGCAAAATGACGATCAGTACGATTGTAATTATGATTGTTTACTGCAGTAGTGATGTAGGCATACAAGTGTTTGGCTGGTATTCTGCATCAAATTCAATTGTAAACATGAGACTTGGTAAATATTTACCTATATCTTGATATATATACTGTTCTTTCGCTAGTAACATCTTTTTATAGGTTAATTTCCTTAGATATTTGCTGCAAGTGTGTAATCGAAGATAGTACACATGTTATAATTAGTTGAAAGAATACATCACACTTGGCATTAGAAAAGTTTACAGATGTTAGACTGTCCTAGCTCCCCCAACCACAGGTGAATATCATGTTAACAAGTATGTAAGTCAACCTATTGTTTAACAGTCAGCCAGGTGTAACCTTTTGTTTAACAGTCAGCCAGGTGTAAAAAATACCCTGTTAGGCCGAGGCATTGTTTACATAATGCATCCAGGGTGTGACAGAAGGTCCCCAGGGCATTTATCATGAATCATTAACCATTTACCTGTATTTTTTTTGTGACAGTGGCCAAAATAAAGTGATATTAAGAGAAATCAACATAAAATCAGGTGATAATAAAAGAATTGAATTGCATAGATTATATAGCAGGAAAAACGGTGCATCAAAAAAACATGATAATAACCGAAAAGTGACATTAACAGACGTGATATTAGGTGGAATGTACTGTATTGTATTGTATGTGTAGCAGAAATGTCCATTAATAATTGTTCTGCAATTTATATGTAACAGAAACTTTCTTGTAAGGAAACATAGAGCATGGAGCCTTATTAATTGTTTTACATTGTAAGTGCAGCAAAAAAATTCATGTAAGGAAACTTAGAGCATTGAGCCTTAATAATTGTTTTGCATTGTATATGTAGCAAAATTTTCATATAAGTAAACATGAAGTGTGGATCTTTAATAATTGTTTAGCATTGTTGGGGTACATTCGCGTATCTGGTTGAAACTGTAAAGAAAACGACAGGTACAGATCTGAACTGAGGCTGACCTCAGGAAAATTCGGCACGTGTATAATAAGGGGTCCAACCGTACCTGGTTGAAACTAAAATGCTGACTATTGCCAGTTTGCGTTATTTCTTTCTAAAACAATGTCAAGCCACATGTAGTTTTTAAGATACGCTATGAAATTCAGTGGACATGTGAGAGAAGGGCATAATATTCTTGATACATTGTTTTTTATTCTCCGAAACTGCATTTTTAGCTCTGCTTATAGAATGGTCCAAGAGCGTTCATTGATCGTGGAATATTTCTGCGCCACATGTACCATTTCAACCAGAATACGCGAATGTAGCCTAGGTGTAGCAAAAAATCATATTAGTAAACATGGAGCATGGAGCCTTAACAATTGTTACAGATTACAAAAAATTTCATATCAATATACAGCAGTGAAAACATGGGGACTGTTCGTTTATGCGGAACAACCTGTTCGTTTGTTTTTAAAAGTAACATTTTTTAGCATAAATCTTGGCGGACCTGCAAAAGCTTATGCAGGCCTTGCAAGGCTTTGTCAAGGCTTGCCTGAAAACAGTATCTGATTACTAGGTCCGATATTAATTCATAAACGAACAACTCTGGTCCAACGAGTTCAACCGTTTGGATCACGATAAATGAAAGCGATCCTCGAGTAGGGGTCCTTAACAATGATTTTGTACTTTGAAAACATACAGGCAGATTACACCACTCCTGTAGGACCTCTGTCACATAGTAGGCAGCATTGATGATGGCACAGAAGATGTCACACAGCGGGTCATGGATAACGCCCTGCATCACCTGTACCAGACGAATTCTAAAGTCCTCCAGAAGGTGGAGCTGTAATTTCAGGAAGCGTACTTTGTGGATGACTGAGGGCAAACCTTTGTAGCGATCTGTGACAAGAAAGAGAATTATAACAGTAAATTTGGGAAGTACATTGAAGAAGGCTGTGTGCAAAGAGACATCTGCATGTCAATTTAAAGTATAACTTTTGAAGCTGTAATACTTATAAAAAGTGTGACAAATCTCTCCAAAGGAAATTACCTTGAACTCTGAAACAATTATAATCAACGTCAATGTGAAAAATCTCTCCAAAATAAATTAACTTCTGAAACAATGAAAGTAAATATGAGTAAATAACCTTCCCCTTCAATAAATGACCTTGACCAACACATCTGTAATGGTCAACATTTAGAGTGATAAGATCCCACCAAAATGAATGGCCCTGACCTTAACCTAAAAACCTTTTATGGTCATACACATTTATCATACATTAAGTGATGATAAATTTGGTCTACAAATAAATATGTGTAAGTGTCAAATATTTCTCAACAATAAAATGAAATGACCTTGAGCCACAAACCTGTTATGGTCAACATTAGTGTGATGAAGCTCTCTCCACATTCGGGAACTTTCAGTTCATCTACGTCTGCTATATCCTTGTACTGGGACTGCCAGGCAGACGGCGAGGCTAGCGTGACATCCATCTTGGCACCAGCAACTGAAAAATGTTAAATGGAATAAATATATTTCTCTCATTTCCCTGTGTGTAAGATAGAGCTGTCCAGGGTAAGAAAAGGGTGTAGGAAATTTCTATCTTACATCCCATTTCACGCGACGTGACGTCACAATGGCTCAACAATGACGTGACGTCACAAATTTGGAACTCCCCGATGCCACAATGTGGAAAAGGCGACGTGGTGAAATTAAAACCTTTTACAATATATTTTCCGTACACATTAGAAAGATGTTATTAATTTTTCTGCACAAACTTTGTTTGCAAATATGGGGTATACTAAATCTGGCTGACAGACTCGTTTTCATGGTTTCTGAACTTATTCCGGTAGTTGGAATAAGAGAAAAATACTATTTCATGCCCAGAGTGGTAGGAGATGGAAATTCCACCCTCGGGATTTTCAAATGCAGAACTCTCAGCAAAGCCTCGGATTTTACCAAATTTGAAAAGCCCTCAGGTGGAATTTCCATCTCCTACACCCCTGGCCATGAAAGAGTCTCATAATATTTTAACAGTATTCTAAATAGTCTATATATTTTTATTTCAAAAGATTTCAAAAATATGTTGGGGTTTTTTCGCATTAAAGAAACAGTATACACCCTGATATATTTTTTACCTTATGCATTCACAATATAAACTTATGTTTTAAACACTGATTGGTTAAAGGGTGTATGAAATCATGTATCCTCATTTTAGTGCTTCGTTTTTAGAGTCACTCAAAATTTTACAATTTGTTGCTGGAACAACTTGAGTGTTTAGTTTTACACAACACTGTAAATAGACAACAGTACTCACTAACGCATTTTTAGATGGGTAATAGATTAGTGGTTTATAATTTGGAAATTATAATTTATAATCATAAGCTGAGAATAAAGCAAAAAAATAAACTTACTGAAAAAAATTGATGTCATACTCGAATTACTGCATAGCTTGACAGACCGTCTGTGAAATTCAATGTAACTAAGAGGCCAAGAGGCCTGAATAGCTCACCAATTCCTTATCAGGCCTCAAATCCTATGTTGGCCATCATTACAAAACATTTCTACTATAGTGCCCTCTGCCATCTAGCAACCTTTGGCCCAAGGATGCTCTGTACCAAATTTGATTTAACAAACATCCAGTCTCCTTGGTCCAGGGATCTTTTATACTATATAAGAATAAAAATTTCACTCATACTGAAGGTGCAGTCTTTTAAAGATTAACCCATATTTACCCTATTGGGTCCATCTCTGTGCAAAGGGGTTCACATCCTTGGGCTAGTGATCTCTTATATCAAATTAGGTTCTATTTCCTTCATCTGTATTGAAGTAGGATTTTCCCCTTATACCCAAATGTTGTAGGCCTTCATTGGTTCATGATTGGACCTCCAAGCTCCTCCCTCTGCCCCCAATTCCCTAACCCCAGGGGGAAGGGAGGATACCCTTTGTGTATGTTTTAAGTGCCCTTGGCCCAGAGATCTTTTATTCCATATTTGGTCAAAACCATAACAGATAGTCTTATAAATGGAAAGTTGACCGAACAATGAAGGACAGAGGATGGATTCTGTGCAATGGCATATAGGTTCACTTACATTCAGGCAGGTGAACTAATGATTTACATACACTGTTTCTCTACCATAATCCACTTGTGGAAGGCTCGGGGGAGTGTAAGAACACTGAGGCAGCATGGCAAACCAAGAGGATAGCTGTAGCCATCCTTTAGCTCTCTGTCAAACAATATTGCCTCATCCACCAGGTGAGAGAATGTGTGTTCATCGTACATGGTATCAGGTAAGTCATTGGTCATCTTCTCAGTTACCAAGGCAACCATCCCTCTCATGAATTCAACCTTTTGAAATATATCATGAGGTCAGTGAGTTTGTTGCTGTATAAAGTACAATGACTTTGAATCTAGACTTAATCATATACATCTATAATATGCAACACTGCATAAACTGAGATGATATTGCAATTTGAGCAAGGTCTAATTCCCAAAGGAATAACACTGCTATCACTAATGAATGTACAATATTTTTTATTTATATCACTAATGAATGTACAATATTTTTTTTTTATAAAGTCATTAACGTTTGGAACACAATAAAAGCACCTGCCCCTAAGGATGTCATGGATAAAAGTTACATTTAGTCCTGAGTAATCCTCCCACAGAATGTTTGTTAGGTCAAATACATTATTCATGAACTTAATATGAATATATTTTAACATCTAGAAGCACTAAAAATCCTACTTTTCACCACTGGAGTGTTTACCTTTGCACTGACAGTTTCATGTCCAGTCTTGGACAGTATTGGCTGTACTCTCTGGTCCAGGAAATGGGTGTGGTCACGTATCCAACCCAAGACTTGGGCAAAATACCATTCAGGCTGTAAATAGCACACAGTATTTGTTCATAGACTCTATATTCAATGTATCTACCACACAGGGCTAGACAGTAAAGGTAGCCCTATAGTCAGAGAAAAGGGGTTCTAAAATCCTCCACAATAAAGCCACAAGCCGATGACTAGTCAAAATTTGATGATGCTTATCTTATTGAATATTATTTGGCTAGTGGAATTTGCACATGGCCTAGTTACCGTAATATTGGGAACTACCATCCCATCTGACTAGTGGTGTTCAAAATTAACTTCTGGCCCTTCCATAATAGAAAAATATTCTATCTGATTATTTATGTAATTATTAGTAAATTATGCAAAATATCTTTGATTTGTATAGAGTATACATTAGTTAGTCTTAATCTATTTTTCTTTGCTCTTGAAAGTAATTCCAGAATAAAAAAATTCAAACAGAAACAGCTTTTAATTGGCCAGTGCTAGAGGAGGCTTTCAACCTGCTTGCTACACTCCTGGTCAACCAAACTGATAACAAATGGAAACTGAAAAATTTGTTATACAACTATTGAATATGTGAAATTATCTTTTTCATTGGGTACAAGGAAATCTTGTAAAATAAATGTAATTTTGTACAATCATACTTTTGACATTCTGCCAAATGTTAACCCTCACTACCTTATCAATACTGTTTGTCTGTCGGCTGCCATAGAAATGGAACCTGAATCGTTTGCGGAAAGATTTGACCATGAGTTGGAGGGGAAGAAGAAGGGGCTGGTTATCCAGACTTTCCTCTGACCGCTGAGCTGTGTCTCTCAGGCCATCTCTACACAGAGTCAAGGATAAAACTGCTTGCATAGCAAATATAATCATATAGTCAGCTTTCAAAATATCAAAATAGTTAGACTGCTTTCTTTTAAAGACAGTCAGAGTCTGTACCAATCCTTCAGTATATTTCTCATGAAACACAACATGTTATGAAAACTCAACAAACTGCTATAAAATCAATAATCATTATCAAAAAGTCAATTAATGGAACTGAAAAATAATGTAAACAATTTCATTCAAATGACTAAACAAAATGTTTACAAAAGGAGTCGGAATGACTGCAGTCAAACATAATAACAATTTCTGAAAACACCCTCAAAAGTTTTCACCTTATAGACCCTTAATTTTATGCATTCATGTACTCACCTTCTGCTAAAAAACTGACCATATTAGGGTATAAAGATAAACTAAATTTGTTGAGGAATTAGTGGAATAGCTTGTACGCAAGCATTTTCCTTAAAGAGTGGTCAACAGTAATCTTTGCCCGAGACCTTTCGCCCTTTAACCTTGATCAATGACCACCAAAATGTAATCTGTTGTATAATTCAATGGTACCATACTATGGTATAAGTATAAAGTAGATTTTTTAGGGGTTCATGAGATATCTTGTACACAAGCTTTTTAGTTCAAAAGTGGTCAAGTGTGGTATTTGACCATTACCTTTGGCTAAATTTAACCTTGACCAATGACCATCAAAATTTAATCAGGTGTTGCAGGGCTTTCAGTAGACCCTACAGAGTATGTTTGACTCCCCAAAATCAACTTTGATTCTTAGGTTTTAAAGAACAGGTTTTTTTTGACATATGTTTTGCCTCTCCATAATTCAGGAAAAATTCTATTTGACTTCTGAAATTGCTTGATGTCAAGGTTCAACTGAAAAGCCCTGAGGTGTATAACTCAATATTACCATACTATGGTGCAAATGTGAACTGAATGTGTGAAGGGGTTCATGAGACATCTTGTACACAAGCATTTTGCTACGGACGCCTCTTATGGATGCACTGACAAAGTGAATAAGTGAATACTATATAGTCCTGTGCTTCCCAGCTGTCAGGAAGTGGGCAGGGAAGCACAGTGTATAACTTGTACCAACAAGAGTACCGCAGGGCGGAACAACATACGCCTATCGAATGCCATATGGTGTTATATACTTTCTTGAAATAAGATTTGCACCATTCTAAGAGCGGTTAGCTGACATACTATCAAAAAATGTAGAAGAAAATCTCTGGATAAAAAAAATCTGATACTGAAATGAACAAAGGGCAATAACTTTTGGGAAAATCGTCGAATCAAAATTCTTTTATGGGAGACACAACTTCATATTATGATTATAATGTATACCAATTTTCAAAGAGATCGGTCGAAAAATGTAGGAGGAGATTACTGGACAATAATAAAATACTGAAATAAACAAAGGGCAATAACTTTTGGGAAAATTGTCGAATCAAAATTCTTTCAAGGGAGACACAACTTCATATCATGATTATAATGCATACTAATTTTCAAAGAGATCAGTCGAAAAATGTAGGAGGAGATTGATGGACAAACAAAATTTTACGACAGACGGGCGGGCGGACAACCCAATACCATAATACTTCCGTCAAATTTGACGGGCGTATAAAAAGGATACGGCAGCTGTATGAGAAGAAGTTGGGAAAACAAGGTCTCCATATGGGCACGTAGCTCAGGACTCTGTGAGGGTGGAGTCTTCAGGGATGTGCCTACAAATGGCCAACCCAGGCTCTTCAGCACATCCTCAAACTGACTGTCAATAGAAACAACATGACTACCATGTAATTCAGTGTATACAACCAAGTCAGATGTTGGTGTTTTACCACACATTGTAACATCAGAATGAAGACAACAAACATGATATCATTGTGGTGTTGTATTAAAGACAACAGCCATGAAGTGAAGAAAGTTGATGACTTAGAAAATTCAAAGAAAATAGCAAATTGTATAACATGAAATGTTAGTGGGTACCTTCTTTCATGGTATGAAGCTATATATTTAGATTGTTTTGTGGTACAAACTCTTATGGTATCCCATTAAACAAACAGTATTCAAGTATATAAATCAAATTTGAGGTATTTATTTCCGTGGTTCTCTAGCAACCACAAAATAAATACACAACAAACATTTCATATTATACAGTACATAGTCAATCTTGGGATTTGGGTGAGAAAAATGTTCAAGAATTTATTTTTATTTTATCTGGTCACTAAGTTCTTTTAGTTTTGCAGGGCCTCACTCAATCTAAAACCTCCAAACTTGTTTAAATAAAAACTCATTTTTAAGATCTTCATATCAATTGCAACTGTACCTATCGTATGAAATATCTTTGCTCCTGTAGTACGTTGACTCAACTTAATGTTTTTAATTCATTATGGATACAATTCAACAAAAGTTTGATGCTTTAGTATTTCTCAGTTTAATCGTAACACCAATTTAAGGAATATTGGTATGTCATAGATTTCAAGATGGCAACATTGTGATGATGTGTTTATCTAAATAAATGTACATCAGATGTCAGTATAATGTTTCTTGGAATGGTCACATTCATGGAGTAATCAAGCATTTCATATTGAATTTGTCAGTACAGGTACCAACTCAACCATAGCACAATTCAACCTTTGTTTTTACATCAAACATATTCAAGTATTGAAATTATAAATACTAAAAAGAACTAAAAATAAAGAAACGTGATGTACCCAGCTGCAGCCAGCTTCACTTTCTTCCCATATTTTTCTAATAAATTATATTTGAAAATATCTATAAAAATTGATATAACTGCATCCTAAATGGTTAAAAAGGATTAGCCAGTTGTGACTTTTTTTTGTTGGTATGCTCATATTATAAAAGTATCACAATTAATAGTTTTTCAGATTTTTGTTATGTGTGACTATTTTGGAAAGGAGGTGCATCACAGTAAGGTGACATGTTTCTTTAAACTATCTCAACTGGACTTCTTTTTTAATGGAGATACAGTATAACCCTGATGTATCGCCACCTTCCGTTCAAAGACATTTTGGTGGTACAACGAGTTTGGCAGTACGAGTTGTCCCTGTTTGATGACAGGTGAATGAACGCTTGTTTGTTTTGGGGCACACATCCAACACTTACTAATTACCATTTCTCTACTGCAAATGCCATCATTTCTGTACGTCAGACTCAGTAGTCAAGTGTAAGTGTTTGAATAAGTAAAGAACCGTCCCAATATCCTGTTTCTCTGCCGCACAACCCAGGCGGATATCGTCAAGAGTCTGTTTCGTCTGGAGATTTGTCCACATCAAGAATGTCATCGTCCGATAATACCTGAGTGGGTTGCAAGCATCTGATCATTTCAATAAACCGTCTCATAGTCAAACGTAAATCGGGATCGAGATCAAGTCCACTTGGACTCCGCATCCACACCTTTATCTGTGATAGCCAGATGAGGTACGGTACGTCACAGTCAAGTGCCAAAACAACACAGTATTCGCATGATGAGCACAATGGCGGTGTCCCGTCGGTATAATAAAATCAATTTTGATTTGTTGGTCCAATTATCATCAACAGTACAACGTTTAATTGTAAAATAAATTGAATATCTTCACAACCTGTGTCCTCTTTTTGAGAAGCCATATGATATGAATGAATGAATAACCGACGGAGGTAATATGGTAAATTGTATTCAGATATGAATTAATAAATTGATTAGACACACATACTACCTATATGTAATTACAACATCTAAAACTGACCCCCAGGGCTGAGTCAACTGTGAAATCAACGATATAATCAACGGTGTTGTCGGCGGCCAACAAAGGGGTATTTGAACAGCTGTTCTCAAAACATTGTATCATATGGCGGTACCCAAGTTTGGCGGTACAACGGGTGCATTAAAGTGTGGGGAAATCGGTTCTGACAAAATTGATGGCGGTGTGCGAGTTTTGTGGTACAATGGGTGGCGATACATCAAGGTTATACTGTATATACTTAAATAATGTACTCACTACTGTGTATTCTTAAACTCTCCCTATGAGTAATACTGTGACTTTGAAACTTGATAAATACCTCGCTAACTTGTTCTTCAGGATTTTGTGCCAGAAGTTAATGGTCTCGCTGGTAAACTTGAGAAGGTGTTTACAGTCAGTTTCCTGGAGGTCTGTATACACTCTTTTGAGCTCGTGAAAACTTTCTACAGATATCTCAAAACCATCTGTTAGAATACTGGTCTGTATATCAGAACTGGAAAAAAAATGAATTTAAAATGACTCGATCAGCTCGCCCATAATATGAATGTTAATAAATTAAAGAAAGTGTAAAGATGGTAAACAATGGATTACCTTTACACTATAATATATCCCAGACAGCTATATTCTCAATCATGCAACTTAAGGATCCATGTCCCAATTAATACAGGCAAGAGAATTCCGCTGTGGTTTTGCAATATACACAGTTACCTCCCCTTAAGATGTTTGAGAACATTGTGTCCACGGTTCATCATCTGCACGATAAATTTATGACCCTAAAACACTGGTGAAGTTCAAATCAGCTCTCCTATATCACAACAAATTGCACACAGCTGTCTTTCTTCTTGGGTTAATCTAGCGAGTTTTGGTATCTTCACTATACATATGAGTATCCAGAACCCGTAAATATAGTATTTTACTTAACTTCTGACAGTGATATTTACTGGTTGAAAGCAACGGATTTCAGAAAAATGAAACCAAGTTCTGGTATGTTTCAGTAAGTTTCCACAATTACGAAAACCTGACTTGGTTTCTGCCTTTAAACTGTTAGGATTTATGGATTCTATTTATAAACATACTCACCAAGAACCGTTTTTATACCTAGCAATACCCAAACTTGTTACCAAGCAAGTACATTCTAAAATGTCTGCTCTTCCTTAGATACGACAGCTGAAAGAGATCGTCACTGGGTAAGATCTCAAAACCAGCTTTAATGACCAGGTCCAACTTTCATATGAGACTATTTTTTCCTAAATCACTTGAAGGATTATGAGAAGTTCTTTTTATACAACCAATAAAATTTTCTATGTGACATTTCGATAACTAGAAAATATGTACACTGTCACCTTCATCACACACAAATGACCAATGAAGCATATGCACACAAAGATGTAAAATGTGTACGAGTTGTCCATAAAATCGATGTAGATTTCGACTACGCTGGAAACGTATGTACAATAGTTGTTATATATGTACCGAAATGACTCAATCCAGCGTAGCCGAAATCCACATTGATCTTAAGGACAACTTGTACACATTTTACACCTTTGTGCGCATACGCTTCATTGGTCATTTGTCCGATGAAGGTGACACGTGTACATATCGTACTAGTTATCGAAATGTCACATAGAAAATTTTATTGGTTGTGTAAAAAGAACTTCTCATAATCCATACTTACCAACCTGAAGAAAATGTTTAGAAATACCCTTGAAGGATTGCATGAAACAGGTTTGACTGGAGACTTCATCAGTTATAAAAGTCCTGTGACTTACCTTAGGTGCTCTACTTTGGTGATGAAGGACAGGTACTTGATGTATTTCTGAAGGTGTTGGACCTGTTCTATCAGTGAGGTGACATCACTGACCATTGGCTGGAGGCTATGGGTTTGGTCCTTGACATTGTGGTGTAGACTCTCCTTCTCCCCTTGGAGCCGTCGGATAGCAATCTGGGCAGTCTCAACATTACTCACAGCTAAGTCTACTTCACTAGGTATTTCACTACTGGCTAGGGACAGCTGAAAATATAGAAATAGATGATAGGTCATCAAAACTGAATTGTACAGAGCTCATCTGTTAATAGGAGTATAATAATATACATATATTAATAGATAATGAGCTGCCAAAGACTGAACAACGTATGGGGTTGACTGTTCAATAGTGTGGGTTTTCTCTTGATGCTCTGGTTTTCTCCCACATTGACACCGCCCTTCCTGTGTGCTTCACTTTGTGCCAACAAGAGTGATTGATATAGGTTGGTAGAATTTATTTCAGGATTCATTGTTGTAAAATTAATTCGCTTGAATTTTACCATTGTCCAATTTTAAGTTTTTATCACCAATTCCAGTGCTGAAGTGATTCTGAAACCTGTGACAGCCCACTGTTTCTTGTCCAATCAGTAACATGACTCGAGATGGAGACAAGGTAGGGGTTACCAACTACTACGTCACTACAACCCCATGATCTATCAATTAATGGCTGAACCAGGTCATTGTCAGAGCTGGTGAAGTTGGAGGTAATATAAGAATAGACCCAATATCATCCATGTTAAACATCATCTCCTTGTAGTACTTGTGCTTTGCCCAGGTATCCGTTAATACCTTTGTCAAGGACATATCATAATCACTTTTGCTTTGCAATGAATGTTCCAAAACAGCTGCATGTATGTATTGTATTTTTACAAAACATAAGACATCAGAATTAATAATTCTTTTAAAACAAATATACCTCACTGTATTATTCATTTGATTATGTTGAAAGAATGACACCCTTTTCTGTGCTTATTGTAACAGGGATAGATTAATGTATTTGCTTTTATGTATGTTTGTTTACTAAGTCCGTCTGTAGCGCGTAGTCTGTCCGTGTATATATTTCATACTCCGTGTAATGTAACTACCGCGTCCGCGTGTTGTATTCTATGCTGTGATGTTACGACTACAGGTGTATTGTGGTGTTCTGCTCGTAACGTATGCTGATACATTGGTATACCATACAGTTGTTTATTGGTCAGTAGTGTTACGTCAAGTTGTGTAAGCGTTTTCATTGGTTCGTTCTGGGTGGTCAGTTTTGGTGTGTGTTTCTTTGTGGGCAAATAAATCATGCTAGTACCTTTTGAGGACTCGTAGGTGATGGACGGAGAGATGTAATGTAAGTGTTTCTTTGTCTTTGTCTAATACCCAATGTATATGTATTATGTGTTTTATTTGAGTGATAATTCTATTTGGATCTAATCTAAGTACAGATGATTTGTTATTACTTTAATAAGAAATCAGATATGATTAATGTATTTTTTTATATTAAAACGTAATAATGGAGGTCATGTAATTTGATTTTTTGTAAGGGGCGTTATTACGTTGTGCTCATTTGACTAAGTTTCGATAAATTTATTTAGATGTCTTTTATTTAAATTACAGTAATCCGTATCGCATATGATCAAAGAAGGCGTCGTAATTGTACAAATAGATTGTAGCCAAGGCCTTGTGCCACACTCAGGTATGCTATAGTGTTTTTTATGTAAAAGTATATATATATAGTATTAATGTGAGAAGGTGTATGTCGCTAGACTGCTAACTGTGAATTTAGTAGATTGTCCAGTAACTTTGTGTTGAGTCAAATCTTCAGTTTGATTGTATTTCGTAAAAGTTGTAATTGTAATGTGTATTGTCTTATCGTTGGTACTAGATTTGTAAGGGTAAAAGTTATGTAATCGTGTAAGGGTTATTTCCCTTGCATTTGTACTATTGAATATGATTATGTTATGACTGTAGCTTGTACTTTGTACTTGTTGCAGGGTTCTTTTGGTTTTACAATGAGTGAATAAAACTGACAGTGAACAAAACCCAGAGGAGTTGTCTATTATACACAACAGAACCACCTCTACTACATTATTAAGAGAATAGCTCTCAGGTGCCAAAGGTACCTGAGCAAAGGTCTTTAATAGAAACACTTGCGTGCATAAAGAGCAGTGATAAATCTACATGCGAGTCCCGAGTCCTATACTCATAGAATTTTTATTGGACTCACAGAATTTCCGGAAATACTTAAATTTAACATTGTTGGACTCATTGCTTTTAGCAATACAGTTGAAAAGAACTAGGAAAAATGAACTGTAGATTAATCACTGAAAGAGTAACTTCCCTTGTTATATGTCCACCTGAATTTTTTTTCATTCGGAAGAAGCAGTCCTTTGGGGAAACATGAAATATACTCTTGAACCACAGTAAAGAGTATGTTTCAACATATATTTATCATACCAGGTAAATCTGTTGCGATTTCTACCGAAAGACATAAAATTAATCAAATTTCATTTCTAAAAGATTTTTTAGTATATTCTTTGGCTGATGGTTGTTGCAAGTTATATAGCTGATATATACAGTCCAAGCTATTAATTAATTTTCAACAGTCCATCAGCACAGCTCAGACACTAAAATAAGATAGATGTAGGTAATCATTTTAATAATAGGCCTATAGGTCTACCTGTGCATAATCTATTCAAATCTTAAATTTTCTTAAGCCTTTGGGCCAATTTTTTGAGAATATGAAAAAAACAATTTTTAAAAGTCTATTTAAATATAAACATATTTGATTTATATCTAATTATAACCAGTCAGAAAATAACAGTTATTTTTCCAGACCATTTACACAAGTCTTTTCAAATCTTGGTAAGTGTAACAAAAAGTTGAAATTCAGCCTGATGTTTCAGGATGGGAAGGGATCTTAGAATATATTGTATCAATATAAATATAACTCCCCTAGTTTGGTTGAACATCTCAGTTATGCTTAAGTATTGTAATGTTCTTTTTGGTCCATTTTGTTTCCAAACTAATTTCTTTATAATTATCTTATACATCAATATATCGCACAATAGGCAGCAATTATAAAAAAAAGTGTTTCCGACTTATATCAATCACACTGTTTGGCCCAGGTGGAAGTATGCAGAGGGTGTAACTCTTTAATGTATGAGGAAACCGGAGTACCGGGAGCAAACCAAGTGACCCAATCAAAACTCAGGTCATATCCAGTGTGCCACCTGACCCAAAAACTCGCCAACTCCCATTTTATGTTAAACATGTATAGGAACAAATTGTCACCAGTGATGACAGTCACTATTTTTTGAGCTATTTGTAGATAACTCTCTCTACTTTATTTAAGATGTGTTCCTGAAACCCAAACACACTTAGGCTCTTTATCCTCCTCTGCTGTGAGAAGGAATGGGGAACATACACTTCTGAATTTTGCTATAATGATGTATATTTTTATAAGTCATCAAATATTTTGGCCCACCCTTTTCCTTATAGCACGCTTAAGCACATTTTCACGATTGTAGAATAGGACTTAAACTAATCTAGTCCACGAAAGAAGTACAGTCATGACAGTACTGTAGTGTACAGCACAGTACAGTTGTTAGTTAAACCTTACTACAAAATAAAAATTGTCACTTTGATCCATACTGAATACAAACCTGACTTTCCAAACTCTCTTTCGAATCTTTCATTTTTGTAAATATATCCTTAACACCAGAAAGTGACTTGACATCGTCAGAGAAATTGTCATTTAAGAAGTCAACAGCAAATTTTGACAGGTGTTTCGTTTTCATAGTACTGGAGGCCGCCATCTTTCTCTCAACTCTCGTTTAGACCACGTCACGTCTCAATCGGGAACCGTCGGCACTTTCCGTAAACGAGAAAATACCTCGGGAGTAGAAGGCGGAGTAATACAGACAAATTTTGTCCAAAAAGGTCTTCCGGTGTAAGGATCAACAAGTAAGTCGCCGGTGTACTTCTATACAATATGGCGGACTTCGATACATGTGTGGAGTATGCGAAAACACAAATCTATTTTCAACATCATCTGAAGGAAAAGCAGCTTGATACGCTTCGAAATTTATATGAAGGACGCGATGTCGTGAGTGTTCTCCCTACTGGCTATGGTAAAAGTGTTATTTTCCAGTTGCTGCCCTGGATGTTCCAGCGAAAGCATAACTCTGCAACGCCTTATATTGTCCTGATAATTTGCCCATTGAACAGCATTATGGAGGACCAAGTGATGGGGTTACGAGAAAAGGGAATATCTGCATGCTATATGTCGGGTGCATCAAGCAAAACATTTATGACGGAGGGGGAGTTTGACGATGACAATTCCGAAGACATTAACCCTGACGAAGACGGAATTTTTGAATTGACGATAAAAGACGTTTCATTTAAAGACATAGCGGACGGAAAATACAATATCATATATGCCCACCCAGAATCCGCCCTCTGCAAGAGAATACATTCTGTTTTAAGATCGCCTTTATACCAGGACAAGATATGTAGTGTTGTTATAGATGAAGTTCACATGATCTCGGAATGGTAGGTGTTCTTTATAAATATACATATAATAAAAATAATAAAATAAAATATATTTATATAATAAAAATATATATGGTTCATTTCGCCCTAATGTTTTATTGTTTTGGTGAATACTGTCAATCGCCATCATTCTAAGTATTATGTTCTTCGGGGGGGGTATATGTAGGTCAGTATGATATGATCTTATTAAAAGGAACGGTAACAAGATCCAATATTTTCATTTATTCATTGTACTTGTAGCTGTAGTTTCTCAAAAAAGTGACATCTATATTCTTTGCCTTACTATTTCAGTGAAGTGTGATTATCAATAGCAGCATGTTTTGTTTTATGCAGGTTGTGTGACATATAACTAAACCATTTTTGGTGGTGTACACAAATGATTTTTTTCAAGAAATTTTAGTGCAAGCATATATACAATCACATTCACACCATCAAACCCATGTCGACAATGCTTCATTTTTACCCGAAGCAAATCTAAACTACAAGTTCATGCTGACTGCTGGCACTTGTTTGACATTTTAATACCATTTATCCAATTTAGAAATAAGCTATGACGCTGACAGAAAGAACTTAAGCATCTTCAATCAAACCCTGATAACCAATAAATATCTTTCATCATCATCATCATCATTTTACTACATCATTGTGATACAATAACAGGGCTTTCATTACACACTCTAGAATACATGTATTTGACTCCTCAAAGTGATCATTGATTTGTAGGTTTGAAATATGGCATGTCTTTCTGACTTACATATATATATATATCGACCTTTCAAATTTCAGCGAAAAGATTATTTGACTTTTGAAATTGCCAAATAAATCAAGGATTAACTGAAAGTCATGCAACACTATAAAGCTGAAAAAAACAATGTGTCTATATACATCTTGCTTGTAATATTTGTGTCACCTTGGACTACTGATTATGTTTTAACTAATATGAGGAGACCACACAAAACAATGCAACTCTTCACAAGTCTTTTCCAGAGTTGGAACATTAATATTACATATACATATGGTTAAGTTGTAATATCGCTAGGGAATACATTTGGCGAAATCATTACCATATTTTCGAGGAAAAGTCCCCACTTGGACAGTTGTATTTCCAGAATTTCAAATAAGTTCCCTCCTATCCACTGAAATTTCCCCCTGGTCCAAATGTATCTCCTAGTGTACATGCTTGGCAAATTCTGCATATATATATATATACACACACACACATACACATTTATTATATATACACTCAGATGCAAAATATAATCAAACATGATGTAATATACAAATTCTTGAAATGTGAATGTGTCAGTTTTTTTCTGCACTGGACATGTACACCAATTTCAGTTCACTGTAAACAAATTCAACCTTTTGTGGATAATATTTTGAGGACAGAAAACAGAACAATTGGATCAATTTTGAAACCATGACTGTTTTGGTTTGACTGTCGGTCATCAGGTTCGATTCCTGAGGGTCATTCTAAAAGGTCCGTTTTGTTCTGGTTTTCAAAAAAACACCACCTTCACCTGAAATCTTAATCAATATTTTATTCATCTTAGTATGATTGTATTATTTCTATTAAAAAAAGGTTTACATCAAGAAGCTCAGACATATGGTGTATAATTTAATGTGGAAATTATTTTATTCAGTGCAGCAAATACTGTAGTATTAACACAATTCTTAATATATTAAATTTTTGATGGCTCCAAAACTCACTTTCCACAAGAGTAAACAAAGCACTGTACATGTATAAGTATTGATATATATCTCAATCCAACAGAAATGATTAGTTATTTATTAGTTTGAAGTATTAGTGCACGAGACCAAAAGAATAATATGTTTGTTTCAGGTAACATGCCCAAAAAAAATAGGGTAGGTCGATAGGCAAATAATGTTATTTTAATGTTAATTTTTTTATATTGTGAATCAATATTATGCTTTTATTTCAAATTTTACAATGCATTTCTACACATTACAATGGCTATTAATTTGTCAAGAATAAGGTCAGACTCCCATAACAGGAAGAAAGTACATTTTAATGAGTGACTTTGAACTTTTCCTGGCTAATAAATTAATCTTATAGATACATTTCAAATAGGTGATAAAATATCTAGGGTCGGCAGTA